GGTCTATGTTTGCCGGCTAAGTGTTCTTTCATGCAGACACAGAGGGGTCTACCCGTTTCGCCAATGTATTCGTCACCACACGTCTTACAGGAGATCAGATAAACTATACCCGAGCTCATGCAATCACCGTCTCTACCACTGGGGCAAATTATGCAATTTTGAGTTGCACATAGACGGTCATATAGGCGGTTGCGAACTAGCTGGCGCTTGAGATTACTCGGTGGTATTTCAACTACGCTCACCGAATTCTCTAAGCCCGCCCTTCTTAAGCAGCGTTTTATAGCTGTACTTATATCATTTGAGATGAAGGGTAGGATAATGAAGGTAATCCGAAAATGAACCGCAGGGAAGAATGCCTCATTATCACGCGTGATATAGGGCAGTATATAAAACTGCTTTTCTGATGTGAGGGGCACATTATACTTCCACGTGATTTCTGTGCGGTTGGTCTCTACGTGACATACTAGTGGAAACCTCATAAGAAGCGGTGAGTGTGCAAAGCTGTGTTCAAAGTGATTGAAATGTTGGTTTAGAGTTTTTTTGTTTGGTTATGGAGGCGTCTGGCCGAGTGGATTGCTATCAACTTGACCTTTCCAGGCTCTGAAGAAGGCGAAATCCGCCGAAACGTCAGCTTAATCGTGAACAAAGAATAGTAACACCTCGCGTTTGCTCAACAAAAATACGAAGAAAATCGCTGTTAACTATATCTGGGAGGGTAAAATCATTGGCTTGGTTCATCGCTAGGCTCATCGTGTTTGTCATTGTCGGGACCTGGCATGCATTTAATAACAGCTATGACAGTAAATGGAGTCGAATAGATTCCTTCTATTCCCAATAAATTGTTCACGCATTACTATTTGTCAGTTGCCATTTATGGGCGCTTTTTAATGATGTTATAATTTCTAGTAATTGAGAAAAGATAAGCCGGGTATGTTTCTGATCTTAAAGTACACATTGTTGTGGTAAAATCTACGGAAACTTTTCGAAGAACTTCTAAACAGACTGTGAATTTGAGGGGTTTCAATTGTTTCACATTCCAAAAACCTTTTGAGAAACAGTATAGTTTTAATGATACTGAGATATTTGCAAAACTCCGGACCGCAGAGGTCTACGGTGGGGAAAGAACGCGCTATTGTCCTTTCCGGGGAGAAACGCGTTCATCCCCACACCACGTGGGTCCTTCATTGCACCTGTCTCTCAGCTAGTTTTATCGATTTTTGCTATCAGCAATCACCCGTCAGCGGGATTGATCTGGGGAGCCCAAATAGGCAACGAGCCCAGTCAGCTGCAAATATCTCAGCATAATTAAGGTTATATTTCGCAACAAATAAAATATATCCTGCCGTTAAGAAGAGCAGGCAGTAAATAATAAGTTGAAACAGTATAGTATAATTCCCCACACTCTTTATAACTAGTAATGCTGAGTCTTTAGTCTTGAATCTATTACAATAAATGCTTACTTGATACTTCATATTAGAAAGGCCCCTCCTCACTGGTTGTACGGGCCCATGCATAATCACCGGTTTTCGGAAATTTGCTGGTTAAACCTTTGTGGTTCTCTGGAATCCCGAGGTCAACCTGGCCAAACTCTGCGCCAGATCTTGACCACCACAGGCAGTTGTAACTTTTGTGGATCAGAAGATTTGCAACCATTCGACTTTGATACCAGGTCGGTGGTGAATCCTGGTATTGGTTTACTCCTAGCTGGGCTTCCTGATTGAAACGCCGGACTCCTTCTTAGCTTGGAAAACCCTGCCGTGGAGACAAACCCCATCACTACATCGCAGTCCTACACCCAGGAACACCTCCAGCCACGATGAGGCAGTAAACCGTAGGAGGAATACAATAAATATGAAAGTAAATAAAGTGACGCTGTAGTGACTAGCAAAGGCACCGTAATTCTTGTAGAAATTTTTGATAAACATTGACATTCAGATCATAGGACACTAAGATACGCTATTTTGAACGGTTTTATAGCGAACTGTGACCAGTGGTTTAGAAAATAACCTTGACGCATCCTCTAGTGGGTAAGTAGTGGGTGATATAAGTCCCACCATCATTTCGGGTGCTCGCTTTCGTTGATCAAACTATGTTGAGAGTTTCTACAGAATTTACTACTGCTTCTTTTATGCTAAGCCTTATCTTATAATAATAAACAGAGCAAACATGGATGTTTTTATGCTTACTACAAGTACTCACAGACCGTTCAGCAGCATGCGCATTCATGCAACAACTTTCTCACGACTTGATTGATTCACTAACGAATTCATTGAGTCGCTAAGTCTCATAAATTTGATAGAAAATAATCATTTTCTGTAGAATGGTAGAAGTTCAGATCTATGATCCACTGGTAAGAAGTGAGGTGCATACGTGTCTAGTGATTCCCAATGGATTTCTATTTTCAGAATCGCTTAGAAGAATTTCACTAGTATGCAGAATTTCAAAGGACATTTTGAGCCAATGAAAAAGTGTGATCCTATGGGAATCAAACAAGCGATGAAATAAAAGCAGAGGCTCACAGAGAGCCGTCAGTTAGCCGTAATTTTTCGGGTCTGTGATCGCAATGGATTTGAGTGATTCGTGCGAACGAATCATCATAATTTTCGTCATCGCTATGCCATGCCAATTGGATCACGATGAGAAGTGTTCCCAAAATTTCTTAAATTTAGGTTTTTCAACAGGCTCTTCCGGAATCTTGAGTGCCCATCATAACAAGGAGTTGTGCGAATCTCCCTGTATTTCCAGTTTCACTAATAAGTTGCTAGAAAACCTTTTTTCTTGAAATCTCGAACAGGAAATCTCGAAATCTCCACGACAGGTTGTTCCTAGGTCACTGTCGCAGGCGGTCACTCATGTTACTGATCGAGTGATAGTTTACTATCTTGTTTTATACAGGACGGTAGCGGTTCCTCGCATTGCTTTACTAATTTGAATGAGCATTTTGATAAAAGTATCATTTTTAGCGCAAATAATTTTTCCAGGGATTAATTTTTCGCTGCAGACTGCATTTCTACATTTACAAGCTCCAAATGCATGCTTAGGTGAGAGGCATAAGAATTATAAAGAAATTCATTATTCTGGCCACACATCAAATAAAACGGGATGTTACTACTTTTAGGGGCTTTCACAAGTTCGTGAGAGTTCAAGCAAAGAAACAGTGCAAACAACATAAAGCTGTTGATTCCATGAAAGCACTGGAACTTTCAGCGATGCATGGACTAAAAGTCAAACACCATCCTAAGAGCTTTGAATCAGCTTCCTTTTGCCAAATACGAAATATCATGAACGAAACAAACGGCGGAATGATTTTGAGCAAAATATCCATTCATTACGCAAAGGATGCCGATTGTAACATGGAACTTGAAATAAGAATTAAATTTACTAGGGTTTCCAAAAAATATAACGGAACAACTAGGTCACATATATCTAAAGGTTCCTAAGGAAGAAGTTGTAGTGTTCTTCATTAGAGCCAATAAAACACTAACTTCCTAGGGAAGTTGTGGTGCTCTTCATTAGAGCCAACAAAACTATCTTCTATCCTCTGCTTTCAGATAATTATCACTTCGAAATGCTGTGCATGCTCTCTAATTTCAAAATCGCTACTACCTTTCCAATAATTTCTCGTCGTTTAGATTATCCAGAATAATCTTTTTCAAGCCACATTCATGATTCGAGATGTTAACTTCTTCCTACTTGGATCCACTCTTAGTTACCAGTACATTTTTCGGTAATGAGCAAATAGATGGCTAGTAATTTGCATTTAAAAACTGAATAATGTTTTTCCTAATGGGATCTTCAGTTTTATCATAAAATGCATCGATAATGTCGATGTGGAGAAGATTCAGGAGGGAAAAATCCTTAGGAAATCTCCGTATAATCATGGGATATTTCATTAAAATGAAGGCCACTTTGTAAAAAACCACCTCATGGAAACTGTTATATCCCTGGTATACAATCTGGGCTGATTGATGTTTCCAGTAAATAATTTGAACTGATATCTAAATCAAGATTAACTTTATTTTTACACACCCTCAACCACTGACCCTACAATGGGACACATTGCGGAAATTGTCGAAACCTCTAATTCATACTTGCCAGAGACCATCAGTGTAGTCAGTCATTGGAGTAATGGCAAGCAAGCGAGCAAAAAAAACAATACAAAAACATCTTAACTAGCTCGTGTACGAGGTTCTATATTCTCCTTTCCGACAAGGCAATTCGAGTAGGTAACGTATAGAGTGGCTAGATCGGTGATCCACTGAACCAAACAACTTCACGGATGGTCAGTTTAATTTTACAGCAGCACTACCTCATCATATTCTATTCTGTGCCGTGACATCGGTCATCTTGCATAAAGTATAGATGAAAAGGGGTTGTGTATCGGAGGGAATGTCTTCGTTCCGACGACCCCCTATGGCGAGCAATTCTATAGCTAGACAAACTGAAAGAATACGCTCCGATGCCGTCATTCCGTATTGCGAAAAGAATTACATGTTATGTTCGCAGTCTTGTTCCCTATGAGAAACTCAGTTGAATTGCCACCTGGTGTGATATTTGGCTGAAAGGACATAAATCTTTATGAAATGTCACTAGTGCGGTAACCAAGTTGGACGTAAAAAGATCCTTAATTCAGCGGTTAGACAAAGGTGGAACCAGTTCATAAGAAAGTTCGTATATGATTCGTCCAAACGTAGAAAAATTAATCTACGAAGAGGAAATCGAGAGATGTGTTAAGCATGAAAACACTTTGACCACATGCTCGTAGAATAATGAGTGTCATTTATCTCACTCAAACGCTTTTTCGCAGCCTTCCATTACAACTAAGTTCAGATTGTGTGTGAATTTCTTTCAGATATCCAAAGATTCTTGCTTATTCTAAGTTTAACATAGAGTTTATTTCGAATGGAAAAAGAAAACTAGAAGCACAGTGGTATCTTAAAGTGACTCAATCGAAGAAATTTTGAAGACACGTTGAAGAAAATCACTGGCAAAAAACTTACTGGCCAAGTTTCAATTCCTGCACTTGAACATCTACGAATTGTTCAAAAACGCTAGTGGGTCCTATAGCGAATAGGACTAGAGTAAGATAAAAATACATTGTAACAATGTAAATCTTCGCCTAAACGTCGTCAACCATCACAATACAGATGGATATCTGAAAACACTCCATTACTAGGTCTACACAGTGTAGTGCAAGGAAAAAGTCGTTGGATATCACACATAGTGCTGAAAGAAAATTAAGAAAAGAGATTTTGAGAATGATGGGCATCTAAGAGCGATTGCAAATAGGAGGAAAAAAAACACTGAATCGGAAAACAGGAGCGCCTTCGTCAAACAATGAGAGCTGTCAGCTATGGGTCGTTCACAGTTTGAATCCAGGTGATAAACTCCTGTCTGTCATTTGAAAAACTCGTGCTTCCAATTTCGGTAGGACTGTGTTTAAATTTTCATAAGCAACCAAAACCTGTATTTTTTTGGACAAAAGCATTTAAAAAGTCGGAAGTTGGTAGAGGACTTTTATGAAGGCTTTGAATGGACCCGAAAAAGGCTGGAGAAACCCCTTTTAAAATCCTTCTGGCTGTGAATATAGCATGCCCTAACAAAATCAATCAAGAAACGATTCGTGAAGAAAAAACGCTAAGGTAATTCGATCAGGAAAAATATGATCAATGCCTAGGTGGAAAAAGCCTAGGCAGACTTACAATCTCACCAAGCTTGTATTGCTATGTTAGGTTTTTTCTACTAGAATTTTTGAAGAAATACATTTTATGAAACACTCTGAAACACAGTACTTTCAAGTTTCTTGGGCATCGACGCAACAACTATTTATTTCCAAGCTAAATAAACTAGTTCTTCAAAGGAGGCTAGAAAGTTTTCGCGAGGAGAAGTTCTCGACTTAGCGAATCAGAGAGGTGGGAAAACCAAAATCTGGCCGGGTTTCAATTTTTTCGTTCTTATTTTACAACGGAGAACATTGTTGTAAAATGCGTTCCCTCTATATACTTTCAGACTATTTTCTCGTCGGTTCATTCTAATCTTCACGATACGTCAGTTTGTCGGTAACACCCAACGGACAAATAACCAATGAAGCGAATGAAAATGACTGAATGGCAGAAAAATAATTGATGTATAAAGAAGAAAAAGAGAAAGAGATGCACGACCTTGACATGTTGTTTAATTGGCTCGTACATCTGTACGTTGGCTGTCCGATGACAGACAGAGCATGTGAACGGCGTCAAGCCGTGGAAATTCAAGATGTCTACTCAGACTGCTAATAAATTACTACGAGAGCTCTCACAAGTGGTCGCAAACGATCGAGTTGTTGACTGCGAAACAGCGAAGGCTATATATTCATCGTCGAAATTTACGACACTACGTCAGCACTGGAGAGTGATAACGAATGTTTACATATTGTAGAACTACATAAAGTAGACTACTAGTTCTCAGAGGTAAAAGAAATTGTGAATGCAAAACTGTCGGTTGGATATATAAGTTCTTGTGGTATTAGGGCGATTGCATGCAACGTCGGACACCGCCTCGTGCAAGAATACTAGGGACCCGCCCCTGGCACTAAGTCATCGCAGACTGGCCAGAACACCGACTAAACCGAGATAAGATTGTGTCAGAGATAGAAAACACTCAATGAAGAAGAGATTTTTTGCGAGCTCTGATGAGATGAGACAATTCTACAAAGGCTTCGAATTCGGAAATATTGCATGTTTGTAGAAGTGTATTTGCGAGTACTTGTTTTGGTAATGGAATAGAAAACACATGAGCAACAGGAAGTGGTTGTTTATTTTGACATCGGTTTGACAAACTGCAATGACAATTACTGGAAAGCGCTTAAATAAACTTATATTTTATTCTAACGATTAGAGAATTGATGAGAGATCAAGTTATGCAACCTTTCAACGGTAACATTATCGAAAAGTTGTGGTTCATTTTTGCGCTTAAACACAAATTTTAGAAGAACCCGTCACTAACAGAAAAGTTGACAGCACCACCGATATAAAAAATGCACAGCTCACTTTTTTTCTACACGACCCGACACCACATATATTGTGTGCACCCAACACTTTTTGATTCGATTCGTTTTGTGGCACCAAAAATTCCCGGCTGCTTTTAGATTTGTTTCCGGTTTCGGTTGCTGAACAAGGAATTTTGGGTCTTTGTTGAATCTTAGTGGGGTTCGTCTTTTCAAGAATTCTAGATAACCATGTTCAGATGTTCCCAGACCTGCACTACAGGCTGCTCTTTTTAAATGGAGAAAGGTTCCAAGAGAAGTGAAACACCAATTTCCCGAACCCAAGAGCACTGGAGGCTTGGAGAAACCGCTGTGGGTCGAACAAGAGCCTTGTGCTTCTAGAGCGACATTCCTGCTACTGTGCTACCTATGCCCATAAAGAGGTAACACTTCGTTGAAAACACAACGTTGTTGAAATTTTATCTTCTCATCATGGACTATGGGGCTGTTATCATCAGCAGAACATCGTGGCTCAGACAGATCTACCTTTTTTTCTGAGATGTTTGATATTGACTAAGAGCTTTTGATGGATAGAGTGAAGAAGTCTCGTGAAAGATAATCACACCGAGATAGCTGTGAAAATGTGGGTTGACAGCGTCTTCGTGCCTCCCACTTATTTCGACATGTGTTAGATTCGTCTTCATCTGGAGCATGGAGGACAATTGACGAAAAAAAAGAACAGGGTTTCAGCAAAACAGGAAAAAATTCCTGTGCGTGTATTCATCGAGAACCTTCGGTAATTGATTTATTAGCGAACAGATGTGTCCACAAGCTGGCTTAACGTACTTTTGATAGTGCAAGACGAGAACAGAATGGCAAATTTCGGCGACGATTCGCATCCAGTTATTCATTTAGGTATATTTTGTACTAACTTTTGAACTACTGTCTACTTTTGCGACATCTCGATGAAACTTGGATGTGTCTTTCTCGAAATGAGGGTTGCCATAGTCAAAAGTGAAAGATATTCCTCCAAATGGGATTGTTCGGTTAATAATAAACTATACAATTTCTGGCTACTGTTCTGGAAAGTCGACTCACTCACCTATTACTCGCTTCTCTGGGTTAATTTGAAGAACATGCTTTCCATTCTGCTAACAATAAGAAGTACTGTTAAATATCTATGAAAGGTGAAGAGTAATCACAAATTTCATCACGAGGTGATAGCATATGCCGCTAAATTAGCGTTCCGGTTTAGAATTGGCTAGAACGATGAATGTGAATTGGACTTGGCTACGAGTTCCAAGGACCACTTGATCGAAAAGCCGATATTTTATGCGACCCAGGGGGCTTTTCTAGCAGCTCAATTACTCTTTCATCATACCTTCTAACCAAACAATCTACCCGGGACCAACGATTCCTTCAAAACGTGCATCTGTTCTTCGTTAAGGACACATTTACCGACCTGACCTCATGTTAAGAACAAAGAGTGCTGCTACCCAGCAATGGAGAACAATACTACCGCTTCATTTCAACGATGAAAAAGCGATGACAGACTTCCAACAGTGTCGTCATCAAACTTGAGAGAGTAACGGTTTTATTACTTCTTATCCTTAAGAATTAACCGTTATGAAAACATACTGATAAATGAGGTTGAAAGCTGAATGACTGAAAATATACAGAGAGGAAGGATCAATGGACGAAAAAGTCGAATCGAAACATGGCCATACGGAGGTGCTTCAAACATGACCAAGTTTTTTAGCATGCAAATAAATGGCGAACCTCTCCTAGCTAACTGGCACTGGTCTCAAGCAAACGACTGAGTAAGCTTAACAAATACCTTGTAAAAGTAACGATGTCCCACAAGTGTTGCATTTCTAAGTGTTCTCCCAAACAGCAAGTAGCTTCTTTAATCGAATACTCCATCTGTAATTGGCTCCATGTAAAATATATTCTTACCCAAAACTGAGTTGTAAAATCTATTCCAGTTTTATAAGGAGGGTCTTTTTGAAAATCTCGAACATATGTGCGTTTTATTCAAGCATTCATTAGAATTCACGGAAGTTTAATATCCGTTGTGCAAAAGATTAAATTTTCTTTGAATCAGACTTCAGGCTAAAATAGCCCACTAAAAAAACTGTATTAGATACCTAAGAAAGAGTGAGAGATGGCAGTTTAAATCCACATCCAATAGAATCATTGGAAAACAGTATGTTGCCAATCCGAAGATACCACAATAGAAAAAATTCGTGCACCAACGAACCAAATCTTTTGATGGTTTGTAGTCCAAATAAAGTCGGTAATAACATAATGACTAAAATCGAACGCTATCCTTTGGCACTTCTGAAGAGCTACTGAGAATGTCGGAGCGACTGACGATGATAGTGACCGTGGTCGGGGCTGCGACAAGTATTCCGATTGGCTTGGAGAACACCGTTCGGTGACAAACTGCCTTTCTTTTCAGCGGTCACGAATGAAGAACTGAAGGCCGAAGAAATGTGTTCGTCGATGACTCGGTCAGCCAACAATTGAACTACGCCCTATTCATAACACGACAGCTATGTTACTTAGTACAGCGTAATTGAACGTAACGTACACCCAGTTATAAAAAGCCAGCGGGAATTGCTGTTCTCTCCTTTTCGAAGTCTTCGAAGACTTTTCACTTAACCTGCCAGTGCACTACGGCCTATTCATTTCTTTACATTTGTTTAAAAGCATTTTCCTCCCCGACACAAATAAGTTATTTAACGGACCATAATATATCAGTGGTTTTTTTAAGCAGAATGGAAAGTGAATTTTGGTGCTCGCGAAAAGTGGAACAATGGTTGTTCAAGTGATAGGAGTCGGAACTTTCAGCCTTAAGGGAAAAAGCCTCATTAACTCAGATTAGAAGTGGTAAAGCCAGGTTTTTAAGTCACCAAGTTGTTCTTATGTTTTACTAGATTGATTTCTTCCTGTAATTTTGTTCAAAAAACAATTAAAAAAGTTATAATCACAATTTTAACTTACTCTTTACTTCGTACTCTTTTTAACGGTGGGGTATATATTGCGAAGTATAACTTCAATGATGCTGAGATATTTACAAAACTCCGGACCACAGGTACATGCGGTGGGAAACGAACGCGATATTGTCCTTTCCGGGGTGTAACGCGTTCACCACCACACTATTCGGGTCCTTCGTTTCGCCTGTCTCTCAGCTAGTTCTATCGATCTTTGCCACAGCATTCACCCGTCAGCGGGATTGATCTGGGGGCCCAAATCAACAACGAACCCAGTTAAGCTGAGTTAATAAAAAAGTTGTTAGAGATTCCTTAGAGTTGTGGTTCATTCAAATTCGGTTGCTGGAGAGGAACAGTACACTATCACCAAATAGCATAATCATTTTGTCGCTCGCTTTTTGAAGCATTGCGCTAAGTGGAAGTATCTCCTCTTCTTGCATGAAATTTTTCTCATAACAGATTGCTTTAAATGTGGATATGTCATTAACACACAACCGTCGATTGAATAAGGTTTTGCCTTTTATAGCATTGAAATTTTAAATGGAGAGAAAGGAAAACACTGTTAGCGCAATTCCCGCTCTCTCGTCATCATTCTGCACTTGTACGCAAGTCATTTTGTACTTATCAGCATGGTTTTTCTTCGGTTTCGCATAGTGTTTCACTTACGAAGGTAAAAAGCTTGGCGCATCGATGACACATCAATTCCGTATTGAATTTCTCTCTAATCTGTGGCAGGCGCAAAAATGCTGGTGAACCTCGATTACGGTGACTTTTTCAACTTTTCTATACGAAAACTTTCACGTTGTTTTCGTTTTTTAGCTCATCGTCCGCATATTGCACGAGTTGCCGTTCTCGTTGAAGGTGATGCTTTTGTGTGGCGTGGACGAATGTGTTCGCTCAGAAAACATTGTCTCATTGGCTTATGAATGGTTTAATGGCACCTTAGACGAAAGCAACTTTAAATGCTTTGAATTTTTTCCGTCCTTAAAAATGGAAGTGTGCGGTGGTAAGTGCTAAGTCTTAAATACGCTGCTTTTACCCCGTCCACTACTGTCTTTACGATTTGACTCTGTGGATTGAATGTCAATACAAGCTTTCCAAGCTCTGAAAAATGGCGAATGCGCCAAAATGATGGTCATTGTGGAGGAGATGTAGCGCGGAAATATTGATGTATCACTTAGAATGGGAACATTTAGCCATTGAGTCACTGTCGCGTACTTTTTTACCTGCTGAAACCTATGACATTTGCAGTTCATTTTGCGTCGAATTTTGTAGAAAGTTCATTTGTGGAAGGTAATATGTCGCGTAAGTGTGAAATGAAAACGCGTACCTTAAAAAAGTGCAATGAAATGTTGGAATTGTGCTTTCTGAGTTGAGAATGTACAGCGCGGCTAGCGAAGCGCTGTAAAACTGTTCTTTTGCTTTCGAACACGAGAGGTACGTGAACTGGTCCTTTAATGATGAATGAGCGCGATACAAACTGTCTAAGGTTCTAAATCCACCATGGCCACCGCAAATAATTCTCTCCATCCCAAAAAGACGGTTTTTGGCTTTTCAGCCTGTAAGCTTAAAGAAATGTTTAAGTACATTTTCACAGATTATTCACTGAACGGGTAGTGATGTCGTTCAATGCTCCCAAGGTCTACGTTCAACTTCCGAGGTAGCAAATCCGTGATCCGTCCCGTTTAAGGAGATTGGTGGCAGACGTATCGGAGATAAGCTCGCTGCTTACAGCACACAAAAGCAGGTACTCACCCGTCAGGAAGATCTGGAAACGTCTTAGCACTGGTATTCTGGCATTTCAGGGAGAATAACTCGATCAGCAACTGAAATCCATTGGAAATCCATTGATCCATTGAAAAAATCATTTTCTCTTCTCTCTTTTTGTTTTTTCAAGCAAAAAAACCTCAAGCAGCAGCCGAACCAACACGCAAAATCCGATGATTCGTGGGTGATGGATGCGAGAAAACAAATCGAATGCAAAAAGTAGCTGGGATCTGCATAGAATATTTGAAAAGGAGTTGTTTGAAAAGTTGGTGACCTTTTATTTTTGGCACAGATTTCTTTTCAAACTAGCGAACTGCATTGTTCTCGTTTATACCCATTGGTCTAACGTGCATTCTACAAGGGTTTAATACGTTAATAGGATAGCGACGTTTGGTTGCTTTAAAAAAAACCGCACGCACTTTTCATCTCCTTTCTGAAAATTTGTCGCAACTGTTACCGTAGTTTTAGTTACACCTGAATTCTAACCTAAAGTCGTGAATTACATTGTGCAACCTTGTGGTCATCTGTTTTGACATCTATACGGTGGTGACCCGAAGATTATCGGCAAAAGTAATTGTTAGTACAAAAGTACTGACGCATTTTGCCGCAATGAAAGGTACAAACAAATTTTACAGTAAACGTCTTGTACCACCGCAATACTAATGCCCACTATTTCAAAGCTTACAGTTCCCCGCATAATACTTGTGAAACTTAGTTTAGAATGACCTTGGATTTGTTGAAATGGGGCATAAGAGCATTGAAACAGCATCGTTTTTCGCATCCTATTTTTTTTTTAGTTTATATTTGACGCCACAGCAGCGATGATGGATAACAAAGAATGAAGTTTTGGCGTTGATAAATCTCTTAGGGACTCACCATGCAGCCGACTACATTAAGCACCGTGGAGGTAAATTAATGCTTATTTGGCTTATGAAATGACGTTCTACGGAATAATACATCAAGAAGTGTTTCTATCGTCCCATGCAAGTTTATTACCACTTTTATGGTGCCGGAATGATCGAGGGTTTAGTGAATTCTAGAAGAGTGAGCGAACTAATTACAGAAAAAGCAGCGATATAAAGTCGTGGTACCAACGAAGCAGGCGAGGATGGCTTACCGAACGCGCAGCGTGCAGGTGGTTTTCTATATTGCGTACTGGGTTTACGAGTTTTCTTCACGCAGAAAGTGGAAGATGTCTCGAAGCTGCTAAACCAAAAACTGCTTAAAAACCCAATGTTCACAATTCAGCAATCGGCATTGCAGCGAGGTTACTGTCACGAAGTCTGTTCCGCACTTCCTTTGCGCGAGAAAAAGGCCCATTTCTCGGTCGCGTTGTGACGAACGATGAGAAGTGGTTCTACCGACAACGTTCAGCTTAATGGTTAACG